TAATAATATTAAGTAATTATTATATTTTTATTTTTACATTAATTTATCATAAAAATATATTAGTTTAATAAACAAAATTGGCTAATTAGACAAAAAGATTAAAATTTTTTTTAGTTTAGAATAAAATTGACTAGGAAGTTACTTATGGACTTCCTAGTCAAATGCATCTGTCAATTTTCCTATATATATTCAAGGAGCATCTATATATATTCAAGGTGCATCTATATATATTCAAGGTGCATCTTTTTCATTATTTTATTGTAAATACAGTTTAGAATAAAATTGACTAGGAAGTTACTTATGAACTTCCTAGTCAAATGCATCTGTCAATTTTCCTATATATATATTCAAGGAGCATCTATATATATTCAAGGTGCATCTATATATATTCAAGGTGCATCTTTTTCATTATTTTATTGTAAAGGTTATTTATATTAATTTTTTGTCATTTAAAATTAATTTTTTTCAAAAATCTTAATAACGAAATCTCATATCTCATATTGATTTAATACATTTTAAAAAATTAAATTTGTTAATACTATTTTTAAATTTTAAATTTTAAATTTAATATATAAAATAAAACTTATTTATTAATAAATTCAACAATTATTTATATCCATGCTTTGCTTTTCAGTAAACAAAATACATCGTCTTTTTCAATTGGTCATCTAGGACCGGAGCTCTCTTCACTTTTGACTCTCCGTGAAGGGTTGGTCTCACTCCGAGCCAATCTAAATTCACCCACACGCACACAAAAAGGAAGATAAAATAAAATAAAATAAAATACAAGGACAAAAAAGCAAACATATTTTTTGCGGAAGTGTGCTCTTTTCAGTCATCCCTGGCATGCCCCACTTCCTTGATTGGTATTTTAGGCTCCTGGTGGCATTAACGTAGAAGCTTCCTGTAATATCAGAGGAAGCTCATGGAGAAACTACCCTTACTGCCCAAGCCACCAAGGCCAAACATGTATAAAACAGCTGCAGAGTTATGGAGGATTGAGTTATAGCCATGGAGCACCCCCTAGAGAACAAGGTTTATACTCGGTTTTTAGTTTATCCCGCCGTTGTTCTCGCATTTTATTTTCCTTCTGCACTTGTCTACTACATGGAAATGCACATATAGCCTATATACATTGGTCGCAGCTTTTTTTTAAGTTGCTGTGTTATTATCAAGATTACAATATCAATGGCTTGTTTCAGTCCTTTTAACTTCTGGGTTTCATTCAAAATATTGTTTTTTTCTGCAGATGATTTCAGGTTTTGGAAATTATCAGTCATCCTAGGATTCAAATACAAAGTTTTTATTTTGTTATTTGATTTTTTTCTTAAAGTTCATCAATTTCATTTCTCATAGATTGTTTAAAAGCAGAATTTTGGTGGATGGGGCAATGTGGTACTTGCATATAAGACTCTAGGAGTTGTATTTGGAGGGCTTCTAATATCTCCTTTACATGTATATCCATCGATGCCTTTGAAATCTCCCACTGAAGAGAAGTACTGGGGAATCTTTAGCATCATGTTTTGGACTCTTACTCTCATTGGGGTTGTCAAGTATTGTGGCATAGCTCTTAAAGCCGATGATCAAGGAGAAGGTACATTTCTTATATTCCAATTCTTTGTGGTTATGCTGGGGCCAAGAAGCAAATAGCTGTCCTGTATTTTGTTCTCATTTGTTTTCTTTTATTATTATTACTATTTTTTATTTCTTTTGAAAAAAAGCTTATTCTAGCTAAGATCATAAGCTAAAATCTTCTAGTTTGCCATGTAACGGATATCACGTACTATTCGAGAACTTAGGGATATGATCATACGTAGAATTTTTTTTTTTGAAAAGTTAAAGGATATATATTGCTGTGAGTACAAGGGGTACTCAAACCCGTAACAACAATATCGAGATTATACTAAGCACATATCCTACAAAATACAGTCAACCCACAGACTCAACACATTCTGCAGGTATTAAGGATTTCTACCTGGTATTCAGCAGTCTACCCTCCTCCTTCCTGCTGCCACTGTTGATCCTCAAGCATTCTGATGGATTTTGTATCCAGTCGGGAAACAAGAAGTAGCACCTGTTGCTCTTGTTCTTTATCCAGTGATAAGAGCGGAGTTGTATGAGCTCGAAAAGTCTATCTATGTCTGCCTCCTTCCCTCTAAATGTTCTCTCATTCCGTGCTAACCATATTGTCCAAACCAAAGTGAACCAGATACAATCCCATCCCTTCTTCACCCCTGGCTTATTTACCAAATGAGGGTGCTGTTCAAATACCCTGCAGCAATCCTTATCTAAAGTGGTAGATAATCCCCACCACCTGAAGCAAGCTGTCCAAAGTCTATATGCTACTATGCAATGAATAAATAAATGGTTGGATTCTTCATACTCCCTGCCACATAGATCGCACATGCACTCTGAAATGTTTTGGAGAATCCCTCGTTTCAAAAGGTTAAGTTTTGTTGGAGCTTTGTCCTGCACTAATTGCCAAGAGAAGGCTGCTACTTTATTAGGGATGAAAACGTTCCAGACTTTGCTTAAGTCTGCTCTGTGATGGCCTGAACTTTGTGCTTCAGTTAATACTTGATAGGCTGTTCTCGTGGAGTAGCAGCCATCCTTTGAGTGTACCCACAAGCATCGGTCCGGCTCACCTCTCACCATTGGGTTTCTTTGAAGCTCCCTCTGCAGATCTTCTTCTTGCTGTTTCTCCCAAGTAAACAAGCTCCTCCTCCATTGTAATTTCCATTTCCATGCTCCATTCACCCACTCCCCCATCTGGGAAATTTTGTTATCTTTACCTGTTGACAGAGCATATAATCTCAGAAATTTGTTGGCAATGCTCTCCCCCCCATTCCATATGTCCCACCAGAATTTGACCGTCTCTCCTCCCCCCACTTTTATTGTAAACCCATTGGCTAGCCATCCCTGTTTCTCCACTGCTGTAGTATCTAGCCTGCATGTGTCTCTCCACCACAAGGAGCCGAAATTAAAACCCCCCCCTCAACCAATTACACCTATGTTCCCCTTCTATGCCATACTTTTCACATATGACCTTCTTCCACAGACCTCTTTCCTCCGACACTATCCTCCCCCACCATTTACCTACCAAAGCATAATTAAGTTTCCCCAAATCTTTTACTCCTAGTCCTCCTTTTTCTTTATCCATGCAGACCTTATCCCATTTCACCCAATTTATCCTATTCCCCCCTTTAAAGCCGCCCCACAGAAAATTCCTACGGATTTTGTCAAGAGTACGGATCGTACCTTTTGGCATCACATACACCGACATCCAAAAGACCGGGAGGCTGGACAGCACTGAGTTGATAAGAGTGAGTCGGCCCCCAAGAGACAAGTAGTTAGCCTTCCAAGTGGTTAATTTCTTGGAGAACAAATCTACCAAAGGTTTCCAGAACCCAAGTCTTCTGCAATTTCCTCCTTTGGGGATTCCCAGGTACTTGAATGGGAACGTTCCTTTTTTGCAGCACAAAATCCACGCCATTTTATCCAGCCAATCTTCCCCCACACAGATACCTAATAATTGACTCTTATGGCAATTGATTTTCAGACCAGAGCATAGCTCGAAAGCCCTCAATATTCCTTTCATTGCCCACACATTTTCCTCTGTGGTTGCACCGAACAATATCGTGTCATCAGCGTATTGGAGGTGTGAAATTTTGAGGTTTCGAGGGCCCACCTCCACTCCATGTATTAAACCCTTCTGCGCTGCCGTACTAACCAGTCCGTTCAGCCCTTCTGCCGCAAGTAAAAACAAAAAGGGGGATAAGGGATCCCCTTGCCTTAGTCCCCTAGACACTGAAAATTGCCTTGTCGAGCTCCCGTTTACTAGAACTGACACTGAGCTCGTTTTAAGACACTCCCTGATCCATTTCCTCCAAGTGGTGCAAAACCCCATTCTCAGCATCATATAGTCAAGAAAGCTCCAACTGACCTTGTCATACGCCTTTTCAAAATCAATTTTAAGCAAAAAAGTACTCTTCTTTCTCTTCTTTGCTTCATCGACCAGCTCGTTTGCAGTAACTACTCCATCCATTAGCTGCCTACCGCTGATGAATGCCATCTGTTGCTTGCCAATTAGCCTTTCAAGTACCTTCTTTAACCTATTAGCAAGTACCTTGGCCAAGATTTTGTAGATAACGCCGATGAGCGAGATAGGTCTGTACTCCTCGATCTTCTGCTGGTTGTCCACCTTTGGCACTAGGACAATAAAAGAGGAGTTCAAACCCCGCACCATTTTGCTGTTTTTGTGGAACTCTTGTAGGAAATCAATGACATCCTCCTTGATTACTTCCCACTCACTCTTAACAAACCTGAAATTAAACCCGTCGGGTCCCGGCGCTTTCGAGCTGTCGCATTCCCATATTGCTGCCTTAATCTTGTCAGCAGTAAAAGCCTCGGTGAGCTGTCTATTATCTTCGGGTTGCACCTGCTTGAAACAAACCCCTTCCAATTTTGGGCGCTCACCTTGCTCCTCTTTGAACAAATTTTCATAAAATGCTGCTATCTCCTCTTTCAATCTACTCACTTCTTGGATCTGTGCTCCTCTAATAACTATACTATTTATTTCACTCCTTCTCCATCTGCCCTTCACACAATTATGAAAAAATTTTGTATTGGCGTCCCCCTTAAGCAACCACATCTTCCTTGCTTTTTGGTGTAACATGCTTTCTTTAATTCTAATGTTTTTCCATAAGGTTAGGGTAGCATCCCTTCTGCTTTTGATGTCTTCTTCTGATAGTTGAACTCTCTCCCCCTTCAAATCCACTTGGTCAATCACTGTCGCAGCCATGTTCATTTTACTGTCAACTTCAGGGAGGAGATTTTTACTCCACTTCTTTAAGGCCTCCTTTGTCATCTTCAACTTTTCTTTAAGCCGAAATCCTGCCCAACCTTGGATGTTAGTATTACTCCAGACTTCCTTTATCAGCTCTTTACATCCCTCCTGCTCAAGCCATGCATCAAAAAACTTAAAGGGCTTAGGACCCCAGTCTACTTTTTTATGTTTAAGCAACAGTGGACAGTGATCAGAGACTACCCTACTTAATCCCCATTGTCTGACCTCATCCCACTTTTCTAACCATCCCCCAGACAGTAGGAATCTGTTGATTCTGCTCATTGAGTTGCCATTAGTCTGATACCATGTATACTTTCTGCCATGAAGTGGTAGATCTATCAGTTCCGTTTCATGGATAAAACTGTCAAATTCCCTCATTTCTGACGTTACTCCTCTACAGCCCTTCCTTTCCTCTGCTCTCCTAACTGTGTTAAAGTCACCCACCAGACAGATGATTCCTCCATTCCCTGATACTAAATTTTTTAGCTCCTCCCATAATGCCCTTTTCCCTGCTAGATGACATGGAGAATAGACATTGATAATGATAATGGGAATATTTTCTGGCTTCCACATCCCTTCCATTCCTAAGAAGTTTTCTCCCTCTAACACCCGAATCTTGGTAAAAGCTTTCTGGTCCCATAAACACAATAACCCTCCTGACCTTCCTACTGAGCCTTTAGCAACCCAATCAAACTCCTCTGAACCCCATATTGTTCTACACATCTTCCTGTCTACCACACTTAGCTTCGTTTCTTGCACCGCTAAAAAAATCACCCTTTCTCTATTTACTAATTCTTTAAGGTGTCTCTTTTTCCCAACACCCCCCAGCCCTCTTACGTTATGCGACAGGATATTCATGGGTTGGGGACACTAACCTTCTGAGCCTTGCATGCATTCTTTGATGTCTCGGCTTCCTTAACTTTCCTGTCTCTTTCTTCCATCTCCTCAAGGCTTCTCACAACTGACTCCTCGTTCTCTGCTGTTACCCCTATCTTTTTAGCAAAATCCCAAAGTTGCTCTGCCAATTTCCGGTTTGATTGACCCACCAGTAGTCTGTTGCGGTTCTCAATTCCGCTATCTCCCAGTGACCCCCCTGCTATTGAATTGCTGGTGCAAGCAATGAACTCCGGAATGCCCTCTGGTTCTGTCACAGCCTGTCTCGGTTTGACTTTGCCTCTGCCCCTTTCCTTCTGGTTCATCATTCCTAGGAGGCTAGCTCTTTGGTACACAGATCTGCACAGTTTTGCTCTCTTCCTGCTCCTTGTCTTCTCTTCTCTCCGTTTCTTGTCCTTCTTCTTGTCCATCTTCGCCCTCTCCGTTCCTTCCTCACTCCGCTGGCTTGTCCTGCGTGTTGATGAAACTTCTGCATTGTTTCCTTCCTCTGTTTGCCTTTCTAACCCGTGTGACTGCTTATTGAGACCTTCATCTGCTAATCTCGTTTTTGAGCCCTTTTGACTATTGTCGCCTATAACTCCTTGGGCCCAATGTGTTTTATCCGAACTTCTATCTGCATCACATGCCTTCTCTGTTCGGCCTTCACCAGTTGGACTCATTTTGCGGCCCGTTTGGTGGTTGACATTTGAGGCCTTACAGGCCCTATCTTCTTTGCCCGAGGCGCCAGCTACACTGAGGTACTGGCCCGGGTTAGCCTGCAAATCCGCTTCATTACTTCCTGGGCTTTCAATAGGGTCTGTAGTTGACTGGTCCTTGCAATTTGAATTTGATTCAAGTTTCTCGCCGTCATCTCTGCCACTTGCTTCTGACAAATCTTCTCCCACATTAATGCTATCAGCTACCATTGCCACCGACTCCTCTTCTGCAATCCGGCTCAATGATCTCTTGTCAGTCTCTTTGTAACGTTCCCCAACATAACTCTTTTCTATTGATTCAAACCTCTCCTCGAGATCCGGGGTATCTACCAACCCTTTGTGCCTCCAGCTGCCATCCCAGCCATCCTCTCTGTCCTCATCTTCTCCGGCTGAAGGTTCCCATTCACCATCGTGGTTACCACCAGACTGTCCTTCGGCCCAATCGCTTACTTCAGACCAATGTTCTTCAATCTCCGAGTCACTCGCAAACTTTGGGATGAAGTCCTGTTTCAGTGAGAAGAGGCTATTGGACCATTCCTCTTCGGAGAATTTTAAACTGAATAATTCCCCATTCACTTTGATTTGCCTCCTAACTGAGATTGAGTCCATGATTGGCGTTGAGATGAGGAATCTTGCTATATCAAATCTCCTCTTATTGCTTGTGCTATCGTCCAAACAAATAAACTTGCCCCAAGTTGATGACATTCTCTCAAAGAAATCTGGACCCCATGCGTGTAGTGGAGCTCCCTGGCATCTTAACCATGCAAATCTCTCTTTTGCCACCTCTTTTGGAGACCAAGGCTTCACCTCTGAAAACCACTGGCCTAACCAATCTGATGCACCCTGCACTAAGTCTACAAGTTCTCCCTTGTCCTCACAATCCATGAGAACCAACTTGCCTCCCATAGCACGTAGCCGGCATGTGAAATAGCCTTCCATGTAGAACTTTTCCTGCAGATTTGGAACAATTTCCACAGAGTGGGCTATCCCGACATAACACCCCTGCAACCACTCAAAATCTTCGTCTTTAACTTCATACTCAAAGCCGGACCATTCCTCTCTTCTACTTTTCACTCTCCATGTCTGTCTCCTCACCGGCTGCCCGTTTCCTTCTGATTTCCTGTGGTTCCTTTGAACGTCTCGTAGTTGTGGTGGAATTTGAATACCCTCTGTTTTCCTTTCCTTCACTCCTACATGCCCGCCAGCTACTTCAGCATACGATCTGTTCTGGATAGTGTTACCTATGGGTGCGGTTTTGTTTATCTCCTTCACTGCTACTTTTTCCTCTGGATACTTAGCCACATTCACCCATATTTTCCTACCTTCAATCCGGATCTGATCTAGTTGTCTCTCCAGCTCCTTTTCGTTCTTGACATCCAAGAACCTGACAAAGCCGAATCTGCTCCCACTCTTATTTCTTTTCAATGGGTTGTAAATTGCTATCACTCTTCCGAACCTGCGAAAGGTTGACCACATATCTGTGTAACTCCACTCCTCAGGGAAATTAGTGAAGAAGAAGGCTGTTGCCTGTCTGTACACCCCCTTATCGTAACCCCAATCTCCCATCGTCTTCTGCTGCCTGCGATGTCCCACGTATCCTCCTGTATCTGATCTCCTTGTGTAGCTGCTTCTCCCTTGTAGTCGCGCCGCCTCTCTGTCCAGCGCTGTCCGACCATCCCATGTTTGATATCTGCTTTTCTGATCCCAAGCTCTTGTCCTTCCTCTCTCTCTCATCGTAGACAAAATACTTCTGATCATACGTAGAATTTGATCTAATTTGAAATATCATTTAATTTAATGAATTTGATCATTAGTAGGTCCTCTAATGCATAGAGTTTGATGCTGGTAAGAGAAAATATAGAATTTGATTAAACTTTTTAACTTCACTGTTGGCCAAAAAAGG